ATCATAGGAGACCATTTTTTTAGATCAGTTAATATATATATATATGTTGCTTTACTAATCAAATTCAGTACTACTACAACACTTATTAATGAATTTACAAAATAAAACTAACAAACTTCAAACTCATGTTAACAAATCTGATTTTAATAACAGTGTAAAAAGGGTATCCATATTCAGAAATCGAAAGTGATAAAATCCTTTTAAGCCCCCAACTTGGAATAAAATTACCTCCTTAACTGTACCTTTAATATCATCTTGGAAAACAAGAGCAGATCCTCAGGATTTTGGTAACGCACTCAATGACAAATGAACTGAGTCGCGATAGCCGTAATCGGTCGCATTATTTACCGGGGAGAAAGCGGTTTTTTTATTTTATTTTCCCGGTGCTTTGCAAATCCCGGCCCACCCGGCGGGGAGTCCAGGTGAATGGGGGACAATTCAAGATTCTATTTAAAAAATGGGGATGTCAGGTTAAATCGATACCGGTAAAAACAGGTTTAGGTTTTGTAACCCTTTTTTAATTAAGTCAGCTAATCATAAGGCTTTCCAGACACTGTAGATGAAGATCACAATAAATGGAGGTTTCGTTACAGCCAAAACCACCATTGTATTTATTAAAAACCTTTATATTAAAATATACAATAAAATCCCTGTTTTATTTCTTATATTAACAATTTTCCTAATATATTTGCGACCTCTAAATAAAATCAAATAAAAAAAAATGTGTATCACTCATTTAGATTTCATAGAATATATATATGTGTAAGGCCCAGGCAACAGGTTAAATTGGAACCCAAAAACCGCATCTTAAAAGCATTTTACAACGTGAGTGTTACTTTTACCACCACTTTCATCAATATGAAGCTTTAACAAGAGTTAATATTTTATATGTTTACATTAAACTTAAAAGCAACTTTATAGATATTATGTTTAGGTTGGAACACCTTACAACAAAGTGGTTTAAAAAGTTATTTATTTATATAAACGAAATTATTACGATGTTTATTTTTATTTATAATATACGAGGTGTGTTAAAAAAATAACGGGAATTGTTAAATTTCGCGGCTTCGGAGGGTCCGGTTGTCATAAAATTTTACTTATTATGTTGGTATACATGCCCCCGAAGTATGATAAAAACTTAAGCTTTTTCATTGTTTACTTTGTCTGTGGCAGCCGCTAAGGTTAGACGTGTTTTATGAGCTCGGCGATTTTCGTTCGTTAAAAGAAATGTATCAAAGAGAATTTGTATCCAATTTTGCTTAAAAAATGAAATAAATTCTGTGAAATGTTAACAAAGGCCTATAGGGAGTCTGCTATAAGTGAAACAAGAGTTTACAATTGGTATAAGAGTTTCCAAGATGGCCGTGAAGACGTTGAAGATGACGAACGCCCCGAACGCACAAGCACATTAACAACCGATAAAAACATGGAAGAAATGGTTAAAAACCATCAGAGAAGTCGCTGATGATGTTGGTATATCGATTGGCTCATACCATGAAATTTTTTCGAATGTTTTGGGTATGAAACGCGTGGCAGCAAAATTTGTTCCAAAATTGTTAAATTTTGAACAATATTTTTGGCTAAAAACAATACTGTAATGATGCCCCAGCCTCCATATTCGCCAGACATGCCTCTGTCTGACTTTTTCCTATTCCCAAAAATAAAGAGAACCTTAAAGGGCCGTCGTTTTGCAAGCATAGATGACATTAAAAGCGCATCGCTAAAAGAACTCAAGTCTATCCCAAAGATCGAGTTTTAGAAGTGTTTCGAGTATTGGAAGAAGAGCTGGCACATGTGCATAATATCCAATGGGGACTATTTTGAAGGCGACAACATTAATGTAGACGAATAAATAAATATTTGTTTTAAAAAACGAAACACATCTCGTATTTGTTTATACAACATTGAGTTTTACTTATTAATTTAGAAATGAATTCTACTTGTTTTAATAAAGTTAAAAACAATAACTTTATGAAGACCATGGTTTCTATGGTAACGCTTTTTGCTTTTGACAGTGGCAGTGACAGTTCTATATTCAGTGTCATTTAAAATCTAAAAATGTGTAAAAACAAATGACGTTCACTGCAAAGAAAACATTATTAAAAAAGGCATATTCTGTGTGTGTCTTAGCAACTTTAATAATTATTTACTCGGAAACCAGACGTTCAATCTTTCTTAAACTTTGTAAATATCTTTTAAGTAGACTCTACTACAACCTTCTCAAGAGCAATTTTTATAAAGACCAACCCGATCATTTTCTTCATTATTTATAATCTAATTTTGAGTGGAACTCGGTTATTCCATCTATATTGTATTTCCCGAAAACCCAATAATGTTTCGACCGGATGCACTAACTAAAAGGCTTCTCCATTACTTTGAAAACCCAAATCGCTGTCGGCATAAAAAAGATCCGGTCACTTTTCTTGCTCGGACATCGGGGATCATTTATTATCTGAGCCGTCCAGTCGGAAAAAAGGGAAATGCTCGCGGAGAAAAGCGCAGAGGCCGGCCATACGACAGCGAAAAACGTGTACGAAGTATTTTTTATAACAAGCCGCGCTGTGGGAGGCAATAAAATCCCGGCAAGTTATATATATATATATATATATATATATATATTATATATATTATATATATATATATATATATATAGAGAGAGAGAAAAAATTAGGGTCAAATCGGTTCTCACGTAATCAAATTTTGGAAAGCATATTAAAGTCAATATGTTAAGAAGTTTTTAGAGTTATAAAAATAGAAAAATTAGTCTAAAATTAATTAAATATTTCCGCCTAATTTATGAATAATTCAGCTTCGAGTACAACCAAATCGTTTAGTTAACGTCCAAGGCTAATTAATCTACTTCTTGACATTAATCTTAACCGAGCGGGAACGCTGCCAAAAAAATTAACCATTGAAAACAAATCATGGCCACTGTCTAAAAAAAGTAATGTTATTTCGTGTTCTGCGATAGTAAAAAATGTTTTACAAATATACGTGTTAATAAATCTACGAAATCAAAATGAATATGTTGCATTACTTAAATTATTTTAATGATCGTTAGGCACGGAAGAAATAGTTGTATTTTTGGGTGGACAGGTTTTAACTTCAAATTGTATTTGCATAAATGTTTTATTTCCTACATGTTGTAATATGTATGTTCCTACACTGTTATAAAAATCAGATTTGTTAACATCATTTTGTTATTTAAAAAAGATGCCACTGGTTTTCAAACTGAAATTAGGGGCTACAGTGGTGAAGTGGGTTAAAGTTACCAAATACATCAGTAAGTGTTGTAGTAGTACTGAAAATTATATTGTACCAAATTTCTTTATAATTTGATGATTTCAGAATGGTGTGTTGTTTAATTGTGTGTATGTTTTTTTTGTTTTTTGTTTAGAAAATGGACAACATTTCTTATCAAAATTCTTTTCATTTAAGTTCCCAATTGCCAAAAAATACTTTTGTTAATGGGTCTACAAAATAAGGCCCTTTTTGAAAATTACAAGAATTGTGGTTGAATTATTGATATATGATTTTGTTAAATCTACAAAATGTTTGTTGGTTTATATGTGGTTAAAATTTACAAATATTTTTTACTGTGTAAGGGGACACAATAATGTTTTAAGCTCAGCAAATTTTTAGGATGTAGTTTAGCTGTTTTAATAATTATTAAAGGTAGACTTCTTATCGCATGCTTCGGGATGGGGATTTAGCATAGTAAAATCGACCGACCGACACGAGACAAAGTACAAATTACAGTTACCTGCAGGTAGGACAGACTTGCACAGCAGTTCAAAATAAAAAAAAAATGGGAAAAATTAAAAAATTTCAAAACTTCCAAAATTTCTAAATTTTTAACATTAAAATTAAAAACGTAAAAAGCATAGCTTCTGTAGTGCGTTAACTTACCGACACACCAAACGTTAACTCATTTTTGCAATAAAAAGTGTAAAATTTGGGTAAACTTGATTTTTAAAATAAGTATTAGGGTAAATTTAAGTTATTGATTTAAATTTTTTAGGACATTTATAAAAGTTTATGTTTTATACAGGTTGCACCAAGTAACTTTTTTATTGAAGTTGCTCTCTAAAAATTAAATAGTCAAAATTCTACTATTTGAATTAGTACCAGCATTTTTTACTAATAAAATAGTCATTTTCACTTTTAAATAGTTATTTTTTACTACGTAAATAGTTAAAGTTTGACTAATTTAAGATTAGTCACCATCTTTGACTATTTCTGAGAGTTAAAAGTAACTAATTTGTTTAATCGTTTGGGTCCAACAACAAAGTATTATTTTAATTAAATGCATATACCTAAGCTCCATGGTTAAATGACCCATAAAAACAAATAAAGATGCAAAAAGTTTAGCTCAAAACAGCAACCCAAATAATATATTCAACTTTAAAATATTATGAACAATATTTATTGACAAATAAAATTGATTTTTATAAGAGCGGCTGATAGCCGAATGGGTTATGACAACAGCTTGACAAGCGACATACCTGAGTTCAATCCCCATCTGGGTCAAAACTTTTTTAAATTTAAATCTACTAATTTGACTATTTCATTCAGTAGAATTTGTCTAATTATTAGTGACTGCTTTTTCGCTATGACAATTAGTCAAATATGACTTTTTATTAGTTATTTTTGAATAATTCATTTTAAGAGAGTGCGTATATACAAGTCTGTTAAAATGACATTTAAAAATTGGAAAAACAAAGCAGATAATTTGAAAAAGAAACGGAAAATATAGCACAAAAAACACTTTAAAAGTCAAAGTAATTTTTTTCCAACAATTTATATTTGAACAATTTGATAAAACAGTTGACAAAATACAGAAAAAACTTCCAGTAGATAGAATATGCATTATAAATGTCCTGAAAAAAATTAATAGCTGTAATAATAACAAAAATTGACATAAATGAGATACTCGGTTAAAATTGTTTTACAATGATCTTGTTTTAAAACCTATTAATAAAGTGTTATTTTTGTTTCAGATCCATGTCCCAGACGTCCAAACCATCTTTAAAATACATAATGTTAAAAATATAAAATTATAACCAAAAAAAAAATTAATATTAAGTGTTAAATAATCGTAAATATAAAACCCGTTGCATATCTTTGTTACTAAATTATTAGAATTAATTAAAAAACTCGTTAAAAATTTTATATTGATATTAAAATTTACATTTCAAAAACGCATCCATTTACTAGTAGACGTGCCAAAATATATTCTATTAATATTATTATTATTAAGTGATACTCAACGCACAAAAAATCAAAACCGTATTGGCGTACTTATATAGAAAGGGAAACATCGCACCAAGCGACCTTAAACCTATTAAGAGGTCGTTGGCCAATGCACTTCTAGTAGATGTCTTCAAACGCCCGAGACTTCAGTGGTGTATCGCGTGCCCGGTGCATCTAATCGTCTAAGCGTAACCTACAAAACGCGGTTGCGAGAATACATCCCTCCAACGACAAAAAATCAAAAGCCCGATGCATCGTTTTCTTTTGGTGGCATTCTACGCGGTCGTTTATTTTTTTTGCTGATATGGAGGTGACTTAATGTTCGAGTGTGTTAATATGGTTTAAATAAGTGTCAGTGACTGTGTTTACGGAAGTACGAGTCGCGAATCATTATGGCGGAAGATCAAAGGCGACTGAGTCAGGTTTTCGATCCCATTACCCGGCTTGGAGAGCTCGCCAGGTAATTCTTTAAGTATTTTTTCTTTAGAGTGGTCGGTATATAATTAGATTTAAATTTTATTTATTGGGTGCATGTTTTCCACCAATTATTTTTCTTTGATATTGGAAAATTTGATGCTTATTTAATTTTTATATTTGTGGTTTAATTCTTTTTAAAATATACTCAGACTTATTTAACTTTTTCGTAAGTTCATGTTTAGATAAAATATTTAAAATAAAAAAAAAATCCGCCCAAAAATTTTAAAAAGAATTCAGAAACTAAAACATAAAAACGCTAAATTTTGCAGGGATCTAAAAACTTAAAATTTAATTTTTTTTTAAATAATCCCTAAAATAATAAAAAGAAAAAAATTATCAAAAATAATAGTCAAACTAGGTAAATATTAAAAAAGTAAATGTAGGTATTAAGTTAAAAAAATTATTTTTTATATTGGTCTTATTTTTAGTTATCAAGTTTGAAAAACTGTATTAAAAGAGTTTTTGCCCTAACTAAGATTTTGTTTGTTTTTATATTTAAAATACAGGGTGTTTCACGTTCGTGGTCCATTAAAAAATTCTAAACAAAATTCCATTTCCGGTTTGACCGGAAGTGACATTAACTCTGTTATTTCAAATAGAACCCCATATATTTTTACATTTTTAAATTATACATAAAATTCTGAGTAAAATGATACCTAAAGCTTATAGTTTTCGAGTTATTATTTTTTTTCGTAAAAATTTGACAAATGCTTTTAAAATTTTAAATCGAAACTTTATATATTATTATAATGGACCACGAATGTAAAACACCCTGTATAGCATATGATGATGATGCATCATTTTAGGGGCACGATGTATATGTGAAAATTGCAGAAATTTTGTAGAAAAACCTTTAATATAAAGTCCTTTAAAAATATTGTTTAATCATAAAAATTAATAAAAAATTATTAAATACCATACAAAATTCAGTCAAATTAAATAAAAATAAAAATCTAAAAAAATCATTAAAACGCTCAGTTTTATAAAACTTGGTTTAGCGCGATTCCGCTAGAGACGAATAATGAAAAGAAAAAAATCATAAAAATAATACAAAATAATTGTAAAAAAAAATACAAATCCAAAATTATATAAAAGTTTTATTAAAAAACCTTACTATCTAAAAATTAATTAGTCAAAAAGGTAAAATTGTCCCCTGAATCCGAAAATGTTGCCAAAAGTTAAAAAAGTAGAACACTTTTTGAGATATAGTCAATTTTCCATTTGATATGGAATTGACTATATCTTAAAAACTGCTCCACTTTCATAATTTTTGACGGTATTTTCGGATTCAGGGGATAATTTTACATAAGAATTGGCTGTTAAATTTTGTAATACAATGGTATTCCAAGGTTAACCATGGTACAAGTGAAAAAGCAGCCACTACACTGTTCAAAATTTCATGACCATTTTAACACCAAATTAACACCATATATGGTGTGCCAAAAAAACTCGATATTTTTTTTTCTTGCTCTCCACCCAAAATATCGTAGAATATGTCCGAACAAATATTCTGTTAAAAGCGGAGCTCATAATTTCAATTTTAAGAGGTCCTCCATCGAATCTGAAGTTTTGCCGCTTAAATAACACAGAAAACTGATTTTTTTGCCTTATTTATTCTTGCAACCTAGGAAGAATTTTTTTTTATAAAATCCATGACTAATTCTTACAAAGCATTAAATTTGGACAAAAAAATCTTATTAATTTCTATTTTCATTATTTGATTTTTTACAGAGCTTTAAATTTAAAATTTTACCACAGATATTTTAAACAGTGTAATAACTATTAAATTAGTCAATTTTGACTAATTCATTTTTAGAGAGTAAAGTTATAGTATTTCTTGAAAATTTAATTTACTAGAATTATTTTTTAATATTAAGGAAATTTCTTTAATAAAAAATCCTAAAAGTCAAACGTTTTCAAATCGCATTTTGACAATTCGGCATTTATATTAAAAAATATATATTTTTAGTTTGTAGTAGGTATTTGAAAAGCTGTATGTTTTGAAGAAAACTTTTCATGTCATTTCCATGGCCTTCTATGATTAATAGATCGTCAAAATATACTAGGCATTTTTAAAATTTAAAAACAGATAGGGTTTCTGAGTTTGGTGTACCCAAAATCCCCTAAAACAATAATTTTGTAATGAGATTGTATACAGAACTTAGAACCAAAATATAAATAAAGGAACTATTTAAAAAATAATAATAATATTCTACGAATTTAATTAAATTATTATTTAAAATACCTACCGTTATTTTTTATAATTTTTGACCTCAATTTGTAAACACTCTGTATAAGCTAGAGTAACAAAATTAAGAAAATGTGTAGTTCTTGTAAAACCTAAATAAATGACAGAATCTTTTTACAAAATTTTTGCTAGAATTTATAGAAAGCTTAAGAATATGCCTTATAACTTTTGAAGTTTTTGGAGTTTTTCCATTAATCATAGAAAGCCAGGGAAATGATTTTTTTTAAATATAGAGCTTTTCGAGTACTACAAACCAATCAAAATGAAAAACAATGTAGTTTAAAATATGTGCCAACAATATGACAATATTATCTAAAACTAGTTATGCAGTCATGACTTTGCATTATAAAACGAATTGAACATTTCTATTTACTTATGAATAAACAAATCAACAGTAATATGACCCGTGGCTGTAAAAATCGCCAATACAAATGTTTCTATTCTTAAGATCTTGCATGTGACATTTTTAGCTCCCACTCTAAAAACATATTGTTGTCGTTGCATTACGAAACCACCAATTGATTTGTACTGATAATTGGGCAGTGGGTTGCACATAAAAATTACATCAATGCGTTGGCCACACGAGAGAAAGTTCTCTTAAATCCGCAGGATGCAATTTGCACCTGCTGGCCCACGTGTAGTGCGACATGCGAAGTGTACATGACTAATTTATAGGCCATTCCGATCATTTATCAATGCTAATTGAATGCATTATGTGTAAACTATTTACCATACATCATCGGCTATGTAAGGAAATTATTGCCTGTGAGGTTGGTACAATGCGATATAAATTTTGTACGCAGTTGACATATTCTAGTAATTATGGTATGGAACGAATTCATTAAAAAAAAATTTTTCTCAAAAAAATCCTTAGTTCCGCCCATTTTGATGTAAAATTTTCATATTTTCCGCCATTTTTGTAGAAGCTATGAAGTCATCGGCCGTTTTTTTAAATTGTACCACCTCGTTTTTTTCAGATTCTAATAGATTATGAAATTTAGCAATATGCACATATATCTTTTGGGATAATGATTTTGGGTATTATTTAAATTTAAAATTTGAATTTAAAAGAAAAAAATTCCCTGAGAACGTTTTGTATGACTAAATAATAATAATAATTTTAATTTATCCAAAGGATTACAAAGTAATATAGGATACGTCAAAAAAGAAAAAGTAAAAATACAATTAAAATAAACCAAACAGAATTCAGAATTCGTATGATAAATAATCCTGAATCGAATAAAAAGCATGCATGGCGCCTATGTAATAGGGATTATTTACATACAGTTCAAGCCTGTGTGCATCATATTGAAAATTAAATCCAAAACTTATATTATAATTGAATCGGTGAGAATAAGAACAGTACAAGTCCAAAAACTTAATTTTGACAAGTAATTTTTTAAAATCAATTTTAAAGTTCAAAATACATTCTTGTGAGAAGATATAAATCATTTTACAGAATATGAACATTATATTTTATACAATAGTTAAAATATTCCCACAAAAATGCATTTAGAACTATAAAACTGATTTTTTGAAATATTTTGTCAAAATTCTGACTTTTAGACTTGTACTGTTCTTAATCTCACCGGTTCAATTATGATTACTGATTAGAAGATTAAATTGACTTAAATTGTTTTTTTACAAATTTTAAAACTTCCAGTACACTCACACTTCTTGTTGTCTTCTAGCTTTATTGCAACATACTATAAAAACTAAAACTTCTCTGTGTTTTCTTTAAATGGCTCATATTTAAATACTTCGAAATATTTAGAGACACATACCTCACTGAACGCTGAACTAATTTTTTTACATCTAAAAATATATAAAATAAAAAACTAAAGTGTACAATGCATGTAACTGAAATAAAACAAATTTATAATTCATTAAAATTTTTATTTGTTTATTTAAAAGTTAATTAAAAATATGATAATAAATAAATAATTTAAAATTTTTAATTGTTTTTGAAAATGTGAATATTAAACAATAAATCCTGAAAATTTTATATCTCTAACGGTTTTTCTGTTATCTATTTTTTAATTAAAAGTCTCCAAAATTTTCATTGTAAAAAAAATTGGAGTTAAAATGAAAATTTCAAAAAACTGTTTTAGGGTTTTATTATTGATGGTGACTACTTTATATTAAAATATATTTATTTGAATTCCTCGATCAAGAGGTAAAGGGGGGGTCCACTTGACGTGATCTTACTCAAATTATTAAAATATTATTAAAAGGACATAAATAAAATAAGTAAAAATTAAATAAAAATACAAAGAAAATTTCTTATGAAGTTACCTGATCCACACTAAAAATCATCATTCAAGAATTCATGATATGAAATTACAATTTTATTTTCTATTCGAATCTCCAAAAAAGAGGACGGGTACAATGTAAAAAAATGGCCGATTACATCAGAAATCAAACAAAATCGACCAGTGGTTTTTGAGAAAAAAAAGCCGAATTTTTTAATAAATTTGTTCCGTTCTTTTGCCTGTCACTGTATAAATATTAATATATTTTTCACTTAAAATCTCAATGTTTGCTATGTCTTGTACAAAACTGTGTTGGTATTTATGTTATGTACTTTGATAAGAGTTCTAATGGTGGCAATAAATAAAAAAAATCAGTTAAAAAGTCGAGATAATTTTTACAGCCTCAGATAAGAATATGAAATAATAAAATAAATGTTTGACTTTTAATAACAAAAACATAACATGACACTTTAAAGCTTGATTATATGGTTAAGTAATTGTTATCAAAAATTTTATTATTCAGTTCACATGAAAATTGTTTCATAATATACAACTTTTTTTCTACTCCCACCTATCGTACATGTTTCCATGACACTAAATTACATTTTGGCAAGTGGTTTTTTGACGCTTTACTCAAGGGGTGAAGTTTGCAACAGGTTTTTAGTCACGGACTGAAGTTAGTTGACAGTCAAATGTTATACAATCGTTAAAATAAAGTGCCTTTCTTGTAAAATAATACTAATGTGAAAATTATTTTATTATCAATGCAAAAGATTATATAGGTAAACTTTACATACTGTGCCCATAAAACATTCTCTTCTCTTTTTCTGTGAAAAACTGCTTCTATATCAATTTTTAGTCTATTTAAAATGGCGTTTATCAAACTTGATACATAATACTTCTAAAACTTATGTTTTCTTTAACTCTTAAAACCTAATTCTAGCCATAAAAACTTGTTTCCAGAATGTCCCAGTCCACCCCCTCCTCCCCAAGACTGTTGCCGCGCAGAAACAGGGAGGTTCAACCTCCCCTGGCAGCTTTCGAGGGCCTTGAGCAAGGTGGGCCTAGCGGATCGTATTCAGGGGAAGCGGGCAACGTCAACTGGCAAGAAAGATGCCTGGAACTTCAGCTGGAACTTCACAGAAGCCGGGCCCAGGCCACCAGAACCAGGGACATGCTGAGAGAAAAGGTATGGTAACGACATGTACACGGAGAGAAATGTATAGTAAATTTTAGATGGTAAAAAAAATATAGTAAAATTTACTTTAACAAATTTTTAGGGTAACAATATTATATATTCGTCAATACAATATTAAGATTGTAATACAAAATACTATTTTTTATTATACAATTTTAGTAAAGATTACAACACCAATATTACTAAATCATAAATGTATAATATATATATTAATTTTTAATATGTTCGTATAGTAAATTAATTTTACTATCTACAAATAGTAATATTTACTATATAATTTAATCAAATGTAAGGTGTACATCTAATATTATAATATATTACACATTAATAAAAAATATAGTAAAAATAAAGATACTTTTATGTTTAAGGTAAATAAACAATATATTTAAATATAATATACAATACATTAACTCATGTCATTTTAAACATTCAATTTTCTTAGTTTCTTCAATAAACTTTCTTGACCCATTACTGGTAATTCTCATAAGAAAGAATCGAACCTACTTGGTTGCATAGTATGTACCGATTGCGGCAAAGGCCACGTCGCGACGCGTCGTTAGACGGTGTGGATCACGTGATGTTCTTACATCTCGCCTCTGTTGGCTTACCAACCATGTTATATAAGCTCAGTTATTTCTTTGTTTAGGGTGTGTTCCACTACTACAAGTTGCTCGACAGTGTCGTGTCGACACTGATGATACCCAAAATAGGTCAAAACACCTGTCTGTCGGTATTTGAAGTTGGTGGAACGCACTCAAAACATAAAACTTTGGCGAGGTGTAGGTTCAATTCTTTCTCATAACATTTTTGTATATTATAAGTACAATAAAAATGTTACAATTTTTAATTGTTAACATATAAAAATATTAGATTTTAAAATATTTTATATTTAAACATAATATTTTAAAATTTACTAAACTAATTAGTAATGGAAAAAATCTAATTATAATAAGAATTAAAAACAAAATTTGTTAAGAAAAGTAATATTTTACCTTAAGGTTTAACACACATGGATATTTAAAAATTACTAAATATTCATAGTATCTGGCAATATACAAGATAGTTGTCCCAAATAGTAATATAAATTATAGTAAAGGGTATTATAATTATTGTAATCAGCATTATACTTTTCTCTCTGTGTATAAATACAACACTTATTAAAAATTAGAGATAACATTAACAGAAACCATCATGATGGATTTACAAAGGCCCAATTAGTGTAATATGTTCGATGTGGTATGTCTAAAAGATTTGCTTCTTTGAATGTTGTGCAGCTGTTCAGCGCATTTACTATATTGTGGTATTATAACCCATGATCGTTAAGCACTATCGTTAAAACACATGTTATGCTACTATTTAAAACGTAAGTGTCACAAGGCATTACAATTTGTTTATTAGGTTTAATGCCAAATGGTTATCTTCAATCTAAAAGGTTTTATGGCGATGATAAATAAACCTTTAAGTGCCTTTTTGTCAACATATTTTCAAGGGTGATAATTTCTCGTCACTTAAGGGTCGATGCTCGATAGGATTCAGATCTGGGCAATTTGTGTTCATAAACGATACAGTTTTATGTAAAAAAAACTTAATTGATAATTTCTTTATTGAATATCTTTTTAACATTTCGTGCGGGTCTGCAAAATTAAATTCAAACAAAAACGTTTTAATTAGTAGCTGATTGCGCAATTGATTGAGGCCCTTCGGGACTGTGGGGAAAAGAAATAAAAAATTCGAAGTTAATAAATATGCAAATTTGCGAATCAAGCGATTGAATTTTTTTTTTAATTATCTGCGCACTTGGTAATAACTTAATGAGAAGAGGGGCTTGTAAATAAACAGAACGAATCGTCGATGCGGATTTTCATCGGGACTTAATTTGATCCCGATTCGACCTAAATTCATGAATAATTTAGTTCGATTGCTGTTTTAAGACAAAAATCCCCTTAGTTTTGTATAATGGTTTGTAGACCAATTTTACGCTAGGTTACCCTACACTGAAAGAAAAAAGCGGTCAGCGGTACCCATGGTAATGGTAAAATAGGCGCCAACCAATAGAACCTTAGTTGCTACCATTACAGAATGGTAATGAGTTATTGTTACGAATTGACATTACAGCAAAGTGATCGTTACCACTACTGCTTTAATTAAATTTTACCACTACATGTTGTTATACAATAACCGTTTTATTAAAACCTTTTACCACTACACACTGTTGAAACTTACGAATACATATTGGTATATGGTACGCTTAGTATATTATTTTAGCTACTTAAAATAGTTTTTAAAACAGGATATAACAGTAAGGCGAACCTTAGCCAAAATCATTGTTTAATTTGTATTATTGATTGCACTTACCCCTATAATTTGGTTTTCTCAACAGCACGGTAAGGTAGTAAATAAATGACAATTATATTAAAAACATTCTTTATTAAAATAAAATTATTTATATGAATTTCCACAAAAATATAAGTTAAATAGGACCTACAAAAATTATGCAATAACTAAATATAATAAAAAACATGGCGGATCCTTAAATTATCGTACAAATATCCTTAAATTATCGTACGAATATTTTTAGAGAAATTGAATTATGCAGTAAAAACCCAACCCAACCAATATATAAATAACATGTGTTTGTTAATTTAATTTTTGTTTGTAGTTTTTTTTTCTTCTAAATTAGTGTTGCGCACACTTCCTAGTGAATGTGAGAAGTAAAAACCTTGCCGGTAACATAGGCATTAGGTAGGTATTATTTTAAAACATCGAGAGAAAACGAGTTATAGTTAACCCCCAAAAATCAATATTATAATACCTATAGGTAAAATGCGTTTTACGATCCGTACCGGTTAAAATGGGGAGTAGTTCCACAATATCCCAGTCCTTTTATAACTGTTCCACACCTACTCACAACACGATAAAAACAGTATAGTATGATATCACAAAACTACGCACTATGCAAAGCCGTAAACAGACAACCACTAAATGGCCAAATTTTCCGTTGCTTCTTGATTCGTACCAAATTTCATTAATTATAACATTATTAGTATTAACCACTGTAGTGGTAAACGTCAAAAAATTACTATTTGTAGTGGTAAGCTATTTATTACGAACCAGTTGTAATGGTAAAATTAACCATGACGCAGAATTGTACAATTTTTAACTATTTTGTTATAATCCGTGCTACTTATAGTAGTGGTAAATTTAATTTACAGAGTATACCATTTCGTAGTGGTATGTATCTCTCATTTAATATTAATCCTAATAACATTGTCCCTGTTGTAGTTAGTCAAAGTCACTTTACTACTACAAAAGTAAAATAAAAGTAAGATAATTTTTTTCAGTGTATGTAGTGTTGTAAGATGAGATACTGTTTAACATGGAATCAGTCTTATTTCAAAATAAAACCAGAAAATTCTTCGCTTAGTCGAAAATCACTGAATATAGCCATCAAAAGTAATAAACAGTAAAAAAATATTTATTAATTCAACCATAATTCTTGTATTTTTTAAAAAGGACCCTATTTTTACAAACATTTTTGTAGACCCAGTAAAAAAGTATTTGTTGGAAATTTGGAGCTTAAATGAAAAGAATTTTAATAAAAAATGTTGCTTTATTAATCAATTTCCTAAACAAAAAAATTAACACATACCTACACAAATTAACACACAAATAACTGATTCTAAAAAAAACTCACCTGGAGGTAAAAATTTGATATTTTCGGAAATTAAAAATCTATATCTTTGTTAATTATGTCCAGTTAGTGTCATTCTGTTATTCTCACTTCTTTAGGAAGTATGACTTTTTAAAGAGCGACTTTTAGAAAAATCAAAAGAAAGTTTTTTATGATATAACTAAATAAAAGATGGGTTCTTGATTTAACAAAGTCATTATAAAAGTTACTTCGTAAAAATAATTGTTGTATTAACATTCCAACAGCTTATTTGCACTTTGTTTAGTGCAGGTGCATAGTAAACTCGACCTTAATGGCCGTATGCAGAAAAGTTTATTAAGCTCTAATCAAATTAAATCCACGATTTAAGTTTTTGCCAATTTGGCAACGTAAAAACGTATAATTAATAAACCTATAGTTATAACTGAGTAATTATCTTTAAAATGTGTATATTTTTCCTTAAAACTCAACTTTATCATTAACAAGTTGGGCATATTCTACAATTTATTCATAATGTCTGTTTAATTGGTGTTTTCAAAGAAGAAGATTGTCACAAGAATATTTATTCAAGATCATCATGGCTCAAAGCAACAAGCGAGATAAGTGAAATTGATAAAATTCTCCTAGTTAATCTATTAATATTATTTTTGAATATCATTACAAAAAGTACGAAGTTAAATATTATACGCGATTTGGCATAAAATGTTACGATCCTTTAAAAATTCATAAGAAGAATATTACAAAATCATTAAGTTATCGATCTAAACAAATAAACCGTATTCCATGCTTCACTATTTGTACCTGATCCTAGGATTATATAAAAAATAAGTATGGTGCTCAAAATTTAATTACCATGTTTCCTGAAGATACGCGACAACCAGAATTTGAACAAATTATTTTCATATTTTTGTAATAGTAGTAGCACTTTAAAAAAATCATATTTCCTAAAAAAGTGAAAATAACAGTAGGTATAGCAATAACTGGACATAATTAACGAAGATATAGAGTTTATTTTCTGAAAATATCACATTTTTATTAATTTGAATTATAACGATAGTAATTTAAAAAAGACAAGTATGCCATAGTAAAATGAACAAATTTTACTATAACAACTATTACTTTATTGTATAAACATTTTTTTATAAAAGCTCAAAATTGCTGCTTCATTATAGTAAATGAGAATTTTATTAACAGTAAAAAAAGTTAATTCTGTAAATAAAAATAATCTCTTTACTTTGACAAATCGTAGGTTATTGTCCCAATAAGACACTGAAAATTTAATAAAAAAGGTACCTTATAAGGTAGGTACCTATAGGTGGTA